TTGGTGTTATTCTAAGTTTTTAATGCACACCTTGTTGATAATTAATTTTTACTGCAGACCGAGAAATGTGAACGAGCAGTCTCTTTCTCTGTCTGTCTTTCTGCCTGTCTTGCTGTTTGTCTGTCCATCTCTCTCTCTCTCTCTCTCTCTCTCTCTAACTCTCTCACTCTCTCTCTCTCTCTCCCTCTGACTCACTCTCTCTCTTTCTCACTCTCTCTATCTATCTATCTCTTTCTCTCTCTCCCCCCTCTCTCTCTCTCTCTTTTCTTTCTTTTTCTCTCTCTCTCCGGCAGTTGACTCATATAATTTCGCCGGAAAGCCGAGATCCCCCCTTGGGGAAAAAACGAGTACGAATGAGGGCGCGGCCGATTTGGGAGCGCCTCCCCACCCTGGGTGTGACCCATTGTTTTCGGTCACCCAAGGATCTTCTGGTCATTCCGCCAAGGTTGCAGTACGAAGATGATTTAGGTCAATAGATCAGGCGTAGCAAAATAATAATCACTGGCTTTGAGTAACGGCCGTCGAATCACAAGTTCCTGCTAGAACGCGTACTTGTTCTTTTAACAAGGGTCGACGGGTCAATTTATATTCATTATTATAGAAGTACCACTCAGAAGATCTGTTATGTTAAGGCTGGTTGGAAGAACTGCTAAATATGAAGGACAAAAAATGAGTAGAAAAATTGGTTATGGACGTTTTCTGAATTTCATTACTCTTTGTACCATTCCGATATGTACAAAAGTCTTTTTTTTCTGAAAAAATTCAAGTGTAACTTGATTTACATATTTTTATCGACTACTAGGTTTATGATACCAAGTTGGATAAATGTTGAGATATGACATAAAACCAATCAAAAAATTACAATAAGAGGCTTGTTTAACCTCGGATTAATTTAGACAAGTTGTCCAAGCTTTGTAAAAGCTGGCGGTGGCTCAAGATCTGATCTGCGAAATAAAGCGTACGTTCGAGGATTTCATAATCAAACTTTTTTGATCGGTTCACAGTTTTTATTCAAACATGACATCCTGACCATCAGTGTAGTTGATCAAATTTTAACTCATTTGGTCCATTTTTTAATATATCGTTGGGTCACCACAACCACAGATCACCACACAACCATCATTGATTTTTATTTGATTAAAATTCAATTATGGCATGTGACCATGAGGAAGGTTGACTTGTAGCCACTGACCTGATGTCGAAGATCAAATCCAAGAAAATGCTTATTTTTTTGTGCCATGGAAGAAGAGAAACATATTGATTTTTGAGCAGCTTACATGCGGGACCCACATAGAGAACCGTTTAACATTTACTACATCACAAATGTTGTGCTACTAGTGCTAAAATGTGCCACACGTTCTCTAGAAGGTTTGATAGAAACTTTCACAGCTTCCTTAAGAAGTTCGCCGCCGACTGATGTCGAAAGTCTTACGCGCGGTTGGTTTTCATAGGTCTTGGCTCATGAAGAAACTTTCCTACTCTCTCTCTCTCTCACACACTCTCTCCCTCTCTCTCTCTCTCTCTCTCTCTCTCTCTCTCTCTTTCTCCCTCCAACTCCGTAATTACAATTCCGTATAATGAAAAGTAGTAATATTCTTTGCTTGTGTAGGAGAATAATCTCATCTGCAAGCATAAAAAATCGCTTGTGTTGTTACAAGTAAAATAAAATAAAAAGAGCATGACTACATCCAAATAAAACAGAGAATTTACAACTGTTTATTGCAGGATGTAAATATTCATATTTGCTAAGTAGCCCGTTAAACTGTTTTCAAGTGCCCAAAAATGGATTTTCTCATATTAATAAAAAAAAAATATATATTAAATGAATATAATTATCTAAGTTGGCGACATGGTAAATGTTATTATCATCAAGTACCCAAAAATGGACATTTCTCATATTAATAATATAACAATATTTTTAAAAACGTGGAGCTTATCTCAAAGGATAAGCTAATCCCCTATCGCAGGCTCAACAGTGCGAGCTGAGCTACGAAAGGACGAGGAAGGACTCTCTCTCAATTTTGGTTGAAGGCACCTGCTCTTTTTTATGTAAATGGCAAGGAGAGTGCGTATGTCATAGATCACATATTTTTACTTTTATTTTTTCAACTTAAAATACATTTATTTTTTTGAAGGCCTTGTTATAATTTATTTGGATCAGGTCCCAATTTTTGTCTTTTCCGTTTAATTTAATTGAGTGTGTGGCACAAATATTTTTTCTTATTTTTATTTTACACTCGCAAGGAAACGAGTTTGCATCGTGTGAAGGGGATTCACCCTAACACGTTATAAATATTGGTAGCGAGCGATACTTTCACACGTGCAAATAAAAAAGTAATATTATTGAATGTTTTATAATTTAATTATTTATTTACAAATTTAAGAATTATTTCATTAAGAACATTTTTTTTTTTTGTTAGACATTTAGAATATTACCTTGTATTATTACAATTAATTAAGGTTTTTAGTTGAGATGAAAAAAAGTTAATGGTACGAGAGGGATTCGAACCCACGACCTTCGGCTAGATACGCCGCTGTTCTACCACCTGAGCTATTGTGACCTCGATCCACTCGGACATCAACTCCTCCTCTCAACCCCACCTTATGTGTTTTCCCTCCTTTTGCCTGGTAGAGTAGCGGCGTATCTAGCCGAAGGTCGTGGGTTCGAATCCCTCTCGTGCCATTAAGTTTTTTTCATCTCAACTAAAAACCTTAATTAATTATAATGATTTAATTGGTCAAGCGGACCACGAAATTAGTGTACCTTGTATTATATTCATTCACTAAAATTTCCATTTATTATTTTTTGTTAGGTTAAAATTTAAACAGTTAAAAATTTTACTTTGCATTATATTCATATTCTAAAATCTTCATTTATCATTGGTTGATAGGGAGTTAAAATTTTATTTTGTATTATATTCATATTTTAATATTTCCATTCATTTTTTGGTATATATAGTTTAACTAAATTACAATGGGTAAAAATAAAAAGAAATCATCTCACAATTATAAAAGTTGCACGAAACATGAATTTCAAGAAGCTATTAGGGAGAGTACAGTAACCACTTTATTAGATTCTATCACGCAAGAGGCTGAAAAATTTTGTGCAGAGGGTAATAAAACAGCGTTTTGTGAGGCTATAAGGAACATTGCTCAACAAAAATTTCCTACTTCTTCGGGGGGATTTCAGACTTCGGAACCACCCTCATGTAGCAAATCTATGTTGCCTTCCTCTCCGGACATTCATAAAAAAATTATAGAAGACATCAATCTTACTAACTTAAAAATAGCCTTAAACGAATCCTCTTTACAGTCAACAGAAATTTCAAAGATCATTCAGAAATATGAACATTTACAAACGCACACAAACAAAACAGTAAAGCAATTGCCCATAAATTCAACCTTTTTAGCTAAACCACATGTTCAGGATTTCCCCGATTTCAGTGCTCTTCAAGCAACTGATGATGACGCCTCCACTAGCGAATCGAGTTCTGATTTCTATCCATTTAACCGTGCAAAAAATAACAAAAAGATAAAAATAAAGCCTTTTTATCACACACTTTAGAAAGTAAGTTGCGTTCTTTGCCATTTTTCAAATTATACCACCCCCATTCTATCATAAATTTTCTACAAAAATTATTTCCAATAGCGCAAAGAAATCGTAATAAATTTAAATTAATATTATCTATTTTGGCGGAAAGAGAATCTGACCCTATGGCTTCCAACTTTTTATATAATGCTCTTACTTATCATAACACTACCTTTGAGATCTTTTCCGAATCGTTGATGAGGGTTGTTATGGTGAATCCCCTTCACACGATGCAAACTCGTTTCCTTGCGAGTGTAAAATAAAAATAAGAAAAAATATTTGTGCCACAAACTCAATTAAATTAAACGGAAAAGACAAAAATTGGGACCTGATCCAAATAAATTATAACAAGGCCTTCAAAAAAATAAATGTATTTTGAGTTGAAAAAATAAAAGTAAAAATATGTGATCTATGACATACGCACTCTCCTTGCCATTTACATAAAAAAGAGCAGGTGCCTTCAACCAAAATTGAGAGAGAGTCCTTCCTCGTCCTTTCGTAGCTCAGCTCGCACTGCCCGAGCCTGCGGTAGGGGATTAGCTTATCCTTTGAGATAAGCTCCACGTTTTTAAAAATATTGTTATAATAAAAAAGAAAAAAAATTTAAATTAATATAATCATCTAAGTTGGCAACATGGTAAATGTTACTATCATCATTATGGTCGCAAGTACATTTAATGATTAGTACTTTTTAAAAGGATAGTTCCTACTCACAGTAAGTTGTTTTGCAACGATCCGGATTTCGAGCCTTTTAGCTCATCANTTCACTTTGGCAATTCATGTCGAGAGACGTGGTTGTGGAAGTCCTTCAACCTGATGATGAGCTAAAAGGCTCGAAATCCGGATCGTAGCAAAACAACTTACTGTGAGTAGGAACTATCCTTTTAAAAAGTATTGAACACCACACTCACTCCATCATTTATCATTTCTTTTAATGATTAGTGTAGCCCGCATAGTTGCTCTAGGAAAATCGTTACTTGTGGACGTATAATTCAGTTCTTGCATCTAGATAATATTATTGCATGTATATGATGTATATATACATGATCTCTTTCCCCTAGTTGAAGATTCCTTACGTCTTCCTGCTAAGCAATGGCAATGACCTGTTATGATCAGATAATAATTTTATTTTGACATGAGTGAAAGCAATTGTTTCACGCGGTTTTCTTAAGGTTGAAATGAATTAATGTGTACTGTTCATTTACCTAAAAACGAGCATTTACCACTTTGACAATCTGCTTGAACTTCCAATCACAAATGTGTCGACACTATCGGACTTCTACAAAGTTCAACACTATGAGAATTGACGAATAAAGGTTTGTCTACTTCAGGTCAAACGTTCCGGTGATAACGTTTATTGGTAAAGTTTTTATCGACGTGCTGCAATTTCAAATTTAATTTTCTGTTCCAGGGGGTTAACAGTAATCTCGGAGATGCCATCGACTTCCTCAGAGAGTACGACATCGAGGCGACCTCGATGTGCACGAGGGTCACGGAAGCACAATGGGCCTACGTCACCAATCTGACCGAGTCCAACAAAAAGCGGATGGTGAGTTGTATTGAGACATTTTCATAGTAAATAGATATTCTAATTCCTGTGTTTCTCGGTTTCTGGTGCCGGGGTGAAACCGACCCGCACAGAATACAGGCCTTGGTTCGTTGATTTACACTTATCATTCCAACGAGGACCCGACCTAATTGTACCAGGCAAAAACAAAACGCGTTTTCACTTGCTCTTACATTTTCTCCACGGGCTTTTAAAACGCTGGAAAAAAATTATTTAAACGAACTCCGAGTCACTCAGTGAAGAAAAACAAATAATTGAGACGTAAGAGAGTTTTATTCGGAAATACCACCCACCGGCAGGCAAACAGTTCGCTATTCGGATAGAAAAGTGAATTTTTATACCGGTCCTGCCGTGACGACTCACTTTGACAATGAACTACCTGAAGCGGCAAACGATTTTGGCATTGTGTAAAACAGCTCACCCGAAATCTGGCCAACACCCCCGCCGGATTGATACCAAAACTACAAAAAAGTGTCATCCATTAAGTCATTCCAATACGTTCACTAGTCTTAAATAATTAACACACAGAAAAAAAACTGTTTCGAAGGGAAAATTCCATAGGAGATTCGGTAGAAAAGCTTTCTGAAACAGTGCGTCAATTGTTCCTCAATAGAACCTAATTCTTCAAATTGGAGAAATACAGAGTGTAGATAAAAATCTCTGGCACAAAGGAATGAATTATAAAAATAAATTACAATTAATTAAGGTTTTTAGTTGAGATAAAAAAGTCAATGGCACGAGCGGGATTCGAACCCGTGATCTTCGGCTAGATACGCCGCTGCTGGTATCTGGTAGAGCAGCGGCGTATCAAGCCGAAGATCATGGGTTCGAATCCCACTCGTGCCATTGACTTTTTTTATCTCAACTAAAAACCTTAATTAATTGTAATATATTAATTGGTCAAGCGGACCACGAAATTAGTGAATATAAAAATAAAGCCAATTCTTGATTAAGTTAATTTTTTACAATTCTTTGGCGAATAGATTACGAAAGCTATAAAGAAAAATATACAATAACAAAACCTACATAATTTGTTTTAATATTCATTTGTATTTATTTATAAATCGTCAGAATGGCACAATTACACAGAAGACAAACATTTTGAGCCCTGAAGATGATCTCAATAAAGATCGAAACGTGGCACGATAAAGAAAATGCTTTTCTGAAGCCTACATCACACCAGACCGCATCTCACGATTTCTAAATAAATATCGATTAACGGTCACTAATCACCACACATTCATTTGTATCTTGAAATGAATTATACAAATTACAAATTGTTCTTTTATATATATAAAACAGTTCCGTGACTGACTGACAGATTACGCACAGACCAAACCGCTAAATCGAAAGGGCTGAAATTACGACAGTGAATTGCTATGACATGGATAGCCTCTAAGAAAGATTTTTTGAAATTTCATCCCAAAGGGGAACATATGGACAATTTTTTACCATGTAAGGAACAAAGTGAACTGAGGAAAAGAAAAATTTGAGAAACGCGACATCATATTAGAAAGCCATACTAGCACTCTGCATCTGTTGAAAGGTACATTAAAACAGAGTCCTGCGTGGACGAAGTCGTGAGTAAAAGTTAATACTGCTATAAGAAGAGACAACTCCATTCCAGGCAAATGGTTAGAACTAACAGTACCTAGATAGCAGACTGACGTGGAATCCCCACACAAGAATTAAAAGACTACTTATCAGAAGACTTGGACAATTACGAAGACTTTTAGGACCGAATTGACTTGAATGTCAACACTAGTGATGGAATTATAAATTGTGGTTAATAAAACTTTAAGGACTGGGACTTTTGATGGCCCTGAAAAAGGCCGGTGTTGTTTCGTAGAGTCGAGCCGATGAATCGAAGCCGGGACCGTGTGTGCGTTGGTGGTGATCCGTGACCGAGTGAACCGTTGGCTGAAGTCCGGGGGCCGTGAGTCGGTTGACTCCACACAGGCTTAAGGGACTCGAGTGCAGCAATTAGCCGAGAGCAGCAGTTGGCGTTTTTTCCTGGGTTTAGAAGGCGAGAATCAAGATAATGCTGCGAGTACCCTTGTCGTCGTGGTCGATGTCGATGACTGGTGAAAAACTATGACCTTTTGTAGGAGATTTGGAAGTATGGTGGCGGTGTCAAATAGGAAATATTCCGTCGTTATCCTAAAGTTACAACTCCCCGATCTCCATCAAATCCTCTTATAAGCCCAACACGCCCAACTTACTTTGAACTTGAAACATTAATCCTTCTCGACATCATTCCAAGATCCAACAAGGTTTCAGAACTGACGGCAGTATTTCCACTAGTCTGGAGAATGAAGAATATTGCTTGGATGCATTCATAGATGTACCACAGACGTGTGATAGAGTTTGGCAGCCGGGCATGCTTTACAAGCATAAACACTTCTAACCCAAGCTCTAACTCATCCAAATACATTTTGAGCTTATTGAAGTCTTATCATCCAATGTACATTAACAACGAAGAGATACCAACTTCCATTCAAGTCAAATACTCAAGACTGTACCTAAAAAACAGACTGATGTGCAATCCCCACATCCCCACACAAGACTTAAAAGACAACAAGATAAAATGATGGCTAATTGAAGGTGTTCGGACATATGACATAATGTGTGTGTGTGTGGGGATTGCACATCAGTCTGTTTTTTAGGTACAGTCTTGAGTATTTGACTGTGTGTATATATATANGGATATTTTTAAATCTAAAATTATATATATAATATATAAAAATTATAATATATATACATATAATCATCGTCAATACGAATCATCAATGACTAAATTTACTAGAAACGATTCTGTTAAACGAATTGAATCTGTAATATAACAATAAAAGTTCAGGTAACAAAATATGAGTAAAAGTGGATTGATTTGTAAGAAATTACAATTTTTCAAATCAATATCATAATCCAAGGCAGAATTGCAAGCCGTCTAATGAAATTCAAACAATTTTTTGCATCTTTTGAAACAATTATGAATGCAAGAATGCACATCGAAACGGACTGACCGACAAAAAGGTCGACTCGACTACGTTCCGGCCAGAATGGCCAATGAGAATAAGACCGTAGGATGCGTTCCAACGATCCTTGCTAAGACGAAATCAAAATCTTGATTACAATAAAACACAATTACGTAATTTTAATAACAGCGCTCATCCGCCGGCGGAGATTGAGACTGTGACGACTCAGCTGTCCCAATCCCGCCACGGTTTGAAGGGTTAATCGTTAATTACATTACATCCTAAATTAATTCGTCAAGCCTTCGTCGAACGCCGGACGGTTGCACTCCCTGTAAAATTTGATTCGATAATCTTCGAAAGCTTTTTTTCAATTATGACGGCACATAATAACACGATGATCGTGTTTGTAAAAAATCGGACACTAACGAGATTCCATTGTGCCTGACAGTATTTTACACTTCCCGGAATTTAATGTCGATAGACCGTAAAATATGCAAATAGGTGATGGAAACGCGGCCATTTCACGCACGATCCTTAATTCCGCATAGAAAGAACCGTGGATTTTTAATTGATTTTTTTCCTATTCCAGACGGATCTTCTGTCTCTGCAGAGCAAATTGGAACGTTCGTCCTGGCACAGGGTCGTCGGATTCAGCTGGTCGTTACTGCCGGACCCGGTAGCTCGTCGGCAACTGCAGATGTTAGCTACCAGAGGCAGGAACGCCCTTCCTGAAACGAAGCTCAACGAGGTAAGCTCTAATAACGCCGCCCTTCCATCCTGGCTTTCAGAAAATCTCATCGACAAAAAAAAGAACCACGTCCAAAGAGCAGAGCCAAAAAACATCAAATCTCCTAGTTAGGCACCAATTATCAAACTTTTAAATGATAAATGAGGTATAAAAAGAAATGCATATCTCCAATTCTCCAATAGTTCTCTAAATCTAATCCACAACTGCGAAGACTACAAGATAAACAAGCATAAACTAAAATTAAATCTCTGTCAATAAATATCATCATATTCAAAACTTACGATTTATTATAAACATGTACTGAGCATGCAATAAACCGAAATGCACTGGGGCTGTCTAAACTAAAAGTACCGCCCTACGATTTAAATAAATAAAATGGATAAATAATTGACTTCATACTAGAAAACCAATCATTAATTTAATAATGCAGGAATTTTATAGACCGGCAAACAGCTGAGGTCATCGCCGGCGTGTTCTTCTTTTTTTCACCCATATTTTTCAGCCTGCAGCCATTTGTGCGTGTCAATCTGTTACTGACTCTCTGATTTTATATGAAAACTAAGTTGATATCTTAAGAAGTTAGCTTCTCGTTTGTATCTCAGGTTGTCAGATACAGAATAGACTCAAAATATGTACACATACATATGTATTGGGTTGTCCGGAAAATAATGCAGGATTTTAAGTTTTCATTAAAAAAAATCTATATAAAATATTCTGTTTACGTTTACAGGATTACTCATTTGTATGAATGTCAACACTTATTAATCCTCTTCCAAATGATATTGTTTGTTTACCTCTGTAGCATTCCGCTACTTGGAAATAATTCAGTCATCCTTATAATGTCAAAGCGAGAATTTCGTACGATTTTCTTTTACGAGTTTAAACTCGGCCGAAGCGGAGCCCAAACGGCTAGAAACATTAACCAAGTCTGGGGCGAGGGTTGTGTTAATGAGTGCACTGTGCAAAGGTGGTTTAAAAAATTTCGGGAGGGAGATTTCAGCCTTGAAGATGAAGAAGGTCGTGGAAGGCCTTCCTCTCTTAATGATGATGTTCTGCGATCAGTGGTGGAAGAAAACCCCAAAACAACTGTTCGAGAACTTGCAGAGCAACTCAAAGTCAGTAAAACGACCGTCGCTGACCACCTCAAGGCGATTGGAAAAGTGAAAAAACTCGAAAATTGGGTTCCACACTCATTAAACGATCGCCAAAAAAATCAGCGCTTTGATGTTTGTGCATCACTTCTTTGTCGAAACAAAAATGACCCATTTCTGGCCAGAATTGTTACATGTGACGAAAAGTGGATTCTCTACGATAACACTAGACGTTCTGGACAGTGGCTCGACAAAGGAGAAGCTCCAATACATTTTCCAAAGCCCCCAACTCATCAAAAAAAGGTAATGGTTACGGTATGGTGGGCTTCATTTGGTTTAATACACTACAGCTTCTTAAATCCTGGCGAAACCATCAATGCTGAATCATACTGTAACCAAATTAATACCATGCATCAGAAATTGGCAGTAATGAAGCCCTCTTTGGTCAATCGGAAAGGGCCCATTTTGTTGCATGACAACGCTCGACCACATGTGTCACGTGTAACGTCACAAAAATTATTGGAGCTTGGCTATGAAACTTTGCCTCACCCACCCTACTCTCCGGACCTCTCGCCTACTGACTACCATTTTTTTAGACACCTGGACCACTACTTACAACACATAATATTCAAAAATCAAACGGAACTGGAAAATGCATTTATTGACTTTATCAATTCTAAAAATTCTGAATTCTACTCAGACGGAATTAATAAGTTACCAACACGTTGGGAGAAATGTATTGAGAGTATGGGAAATTATTTTGATTAAAGAACATTGCTTTAAAGTAACTAGTTTCTTTTTTTTTGTTTAATACCAAAATCCTGCATTATTTTCCGGACAACCCAATATATACGTCACCACAAACATAGAAATCTGATCACATTCAGAGTATTCGAGTATTCCTGGGAGCGGGGTCGAACCCACTACATTCTCGCTTAATAAATTAAGTTTAGTTTCTAGACGTCAACACTCACCCGAAAGCGATATTCCTCCGGACGTGATTAAACAACCCCTTCCTTTCACGCTAATATTTTTTTTCTTGACCCACTCTATTCCAGAGACGGAGACAACCAAAAACACACTTTTCATAAAAAGTAGCCTTTATTTTTTTTTTACAACATCGATTTCAGGGTGCTGCCTTCCTCATAAGCCATTATGACATCGATGTTTTATTTTTTTAAAATAAAGACTACTTTTTATGAAAAGTGTTTTTGGTTGTCTCCGTCTCTGGAATAGAGTGGGTCAAGATAAAAAATAAATTACAATTAATTAAGGTTTTTAGTTGAGATAAAAAAGTCAATGGCACGAGCGGGATTCGAACCCACGATCTTCGTCTAGATACGCCGCTGATCTACCACTTGAGCTATCGTGACCTCGATCCACTCGGACACTAACTTCCCATCTCAACCCCACCTTTTGAATTTTCCCTCCTTTTTGCCATTTTTCGAATCCCGCTCGTGCCATTGACTTTTTTATCTCAACTAAAAACCTTAATTAATTGTAATATATTAATTGGTCAAGCGGACCACGAAATTAGTGAATATAAAAAATAAATTGTAATAACACCCTATAGAATAGAAAAACAACAATAATATCTCGATAAGTTAATATAGTTTTTATGCTAATAAATTAACATGAACACAATACAGACCCATAATAATAATAATAACGACGCATAACACAAACACTCTATACATTTAAAAATCGTTGATTTAATTTCACAAAACAAAAAAGATTCGATTTTCTATCTTCATTATAGAATAATTCTATTCCAAATTTACTTTAAATTTAAAAAGAAAAATGAAATTTTAACTGAATGCATAAACGAATACAATTAACACATTGCGACTAGTAAAAAAAGACAGGACGACCTTTAAATATTTCCAAAGGAAAACAGCAAGGATGAAGGCTCCTTGAATCAAGCCCATCTTCTGGGTCGGACAGTTTTTGAGCTCGTACGCGAATTTCAATGAAGATCCTGCGTCTCAGGCCGGCAGTTTGAATGAAATTCGATAAAAATGAAACCATGGACCATGCCCTGTGTTTGAATGCGAAAACTTCAGGCAGCAAAGAGAATCGCTGCAAATAAAAATCCGTAAACCACCAACAAATCATTAACGGAAAACGAGGAAAATTATCAGGTTTCCCACAACGTCATAGTGGAGATAGGTAGGACAAAGCCGGGTTATTTTCCCTCAATCTTACAAAACCCTTAACTGTAGACCATGGGTTTAATAAATGTTCTTTTATTCCTATTAATATTTATTTAATATAAATTTTCTAAAATCTGCATATGTGTGTCAAATTTGTTTTTTTGTATGTTAAAGTTGCATCAATCAACAGGGAAACAGCTAGGGAAACCTTTAAATTCCGATTATTAAATTAAATAAAATATTATACTAGCTTTTTTCCCAGCCACAGCACTGAGGTGTAGAAAAGATATTAAAGCAAAATCTCCCCATTTTAGGCCCCATAATCAAAATCTATCATGGCATATACGCCAGTTTAGGGTTACCCTAAGGTTCAGCGGGGAAGGTGGAGGGCAAAAAATTCTAAAATGCAAAAATTTAACTAATAATAAGTTTGTTCATATTAGGACCTAACTTTAACGGAAACGTACAAAAAGAATTGGTTGTGTCTAATATAATAACATTGTAAATAATTTGGAAAGCAAGTTAAAATTATTCATATGATATACAGGAAAGTTCGGCTACTCGTGTGACAAACTTTGCCAGTAGATTCTACATTCAAAACGGAACCAAAAAGTCTTTATTAACTATGGACCGAACCTCACCAGTTCCGGAGTTATTTCACTTTTTCTGATTTTTTAAGTTTTCACGACCTTGCTTCAAATAAACAATGATAACTCCAAAACTAAAAGATTATGGACAAATCCGTTGATACCATTAAAAACTTCGTCAAATTTCCAATAAGATGTGATCAATACCAAACTTGTAAACTTTCGTAAAATAAGCGTTTTAGTAGCGAGAACTTTGAAAAAAATTTTTTTTTCAATTTTGAAAAACTTTCTATGGTGATCTTAAACTACTATTTCCAAACGTAGAGATCAGCAAATTTAAGAAAAACAGCATTTAATATCCTCTTTATACTCTATTCTCTTTAATATCCTCTTTAGTGGTGTAATTGTTTTTTTAATTACTTTTTCAAAGATAAAGAAATTGATAAAGGAAAGGAAAAAACCGTGGTTGACGGATTGGTAAGGTAGAAAGATTAATAATAATTTATTAGGTTTCGTGGTCCGCTTGACCAAATAAATTCGTTTCAATTAATTAAGGTTTTGGTTGAGATAAAAAATGAGTATCACAAGCGGGATTCGAACCACGATCTTCGGCTAAATACGCAGCTGCTCTACTACTTGAGCTATCGTGACTTCGATCCACTCAGACACTACCTTCCTATCTCAACCCCACCTTTTGAATATTCCTTCCTTTTTGCCATTTTTCAATCTCAAGCTCTCCGTGGCCATTTCATTTGTCGCCAAGAATCAATAGATTACACGACATTTGAAAAATGGCAAAAAGGAGGGAAAATTCAAAAGGTGCGGTTGAGATGGGAAGTTAGTGTCCGAGTGGATCGAGGTCCACGATACCTCAAGTGGTAGAGCAGTGGCGTATTTAGCCGAAGGTCGTAGGTTCGAATCCCGCTTGTGACACTCACTTTTTTATCTCAGCCAAAACCTTAATTCATTGTAACGAATTAATAATAATAAAAATAAAAAAACTTAAGGAAGTTTTCAATGAATTATTAAACGTTTTATTAATTTGGGTTCGAAACCGAAATAGTACAAGTGTTTACTTATTTACCAACCATAGTAAAAGTAATTAATAAATAATTAAAAGTAATTTTAAAAAATTACACCAGCAGAAACGATATTAAATGGAGTACGTTTTCTGAAATCTGCTGTTATCTAGGTTTAGAAATAGAAGTTTAAAATCACCACAAGAAGTCTTTCAACTTAAAAAAAAAATATTTTTCAAAGTTCTGGCTACTAAAAACTAAAAGCTTATTTGACGAACGTTTATAAGCAGTAATGATCACATCTAATTGTAAATTTAATAGTATTTTTCAATGGTATCAACGGATTTATCCAAAACCTTTTAGTTTATTTGAAACAAGGCCGTGAAATCTTAAAAATTATAAAAATTGAGAAGTGTTTTTATGTAAAATATCTTCAAAACTGCTGAGATTCGGACCATAGTTAATTAGGTCTTTTTGGTTCCATTTTGAATATAGAATCTATTGGCAAAGTTTGCAGCACGAGTAGCCGAACACCCTGTATAAGAATCTAATAATAATTTCTACAATTTTAGGCGCTTAAGAGTTACAAATTTTCCATAATTCACAGGTTAAGTGAATGATTTTTATTCCTCAGATAAAATTAAATTCAACAAGAAAAGAAAAATAAATAGTATTTCCTATTAAAATATTATAACATTAATATAATGATTAATCGATATAATATTAATAAGTATTCTTTTTATGTAAGGTCTTAGTGGAGACAAAAAGTCAGTGTCACGAGCGGGATTTGAACCCACGACCTTCGGCTCAATACGCGCTGCTATACCACTTGAGCTATCGTAATTTCGATCCGCTCGGACACCAACTTGCCATCTTAACCTATCTTTCGAATTTTCCTTCTTTTTGCCATTTTCAAATGTCGTGTAATCAGGATTCGATTTTAAGCGACTTATGAAGTGGCCACGGAGAGCTGTTAGTGAAGTGATACTTCTTTTACTTATTAAATATTAAACCATTTATGTTTTAGTGGTCAATTGACGAAGTTACTTCTTTTTATGTAAGATCTTGGTTGGGATAAAAAAATGAAATGATTGAAAATGGCAAAAAGAGGGAAAATTCGAACAGTTTTTGGTTGAGATGGAAAGTTGGTGTCCCAGAGGATCGAAGTCGCGATAGCTCAAGTGGTTAAAGAAGCGGCGTATTGAGCCGAAGGTCGTTGGTTCGAATCCCGCTCATGACACTGACTTTTTTATCTCAACCAAGACCTTCCATAAAAAGAATAATTAATTGAAAGAAGTAACTTGGTCAATTGACCACGGAAACATAAATGGATTAATGATAACATTAATCAGCTCTTTGGATTCCTGAATAAATGACTTCCTAACATATTTCAATCTTTACATCCAACTTTAAACTTTTGTGTTACTCCTGTTTTTCTTAGTAATTTAAACGTTTTGTTTGTAATTCAAGCGAAGATAGACTTAATTTAGTTGTAAAAGCATAAAAAGACAAAAATAGGTCGAAAAAAGAGAAAGAGGGCAGGTCGGCCTTGGTGGATCTCCGTGCAACGCGATCCTTTGTAGATAGCGAAGGAAGGAAGCACGGCTCAAAGCACCTGTTTTCCTCTGCTTTTTCAGCTCACCAAGGTGGTAGCCGAGATGAAAGAGATCTACAATAAAGCACGGGTTTGCCCGTTTACCAGCACCTCATCGCCCTACTGCGATCTCTCCCTTGAACCAGGTTAATGGATTTCCGTCGACTTTTATTTTCCGCTTTTGGACATTTTTCGCTTTTTTAATTGTTAAACGGTTGGTTTTGTTTTGTAGATTTGACCAGAACAATGGCTCATTCGAGGAGCTACGAGGAGCAGCTGCACGCCTGGAAATCGTGGCGCGACGCAACTGGGCCGAAACTTAGGGACAAGTATGCCCGTTACGTCGAACTTGCGAACGAAGCATCGAGATTGAACGGTACTTTAACATTTTCCAAATTGGTTACAAATTATTAAAGCATTTGAAATTCCAGCTAATGCGTTAATAAATCGAGAAAAACTGAAAAATGGACAAAAAAATATTTGTATCAAATATTACAATAGACAATATTAATTCTTGCATTGTTCCCTAAAAAAGCGAAAGAATTCCTATGAGCTTAGTAAATTCTAGAACGCACTTTTATATACAAACAGCAATTGTTTCTTATTGAACAAATTAACAAAAAATAGCGAGTCTAGACGGACCCCAAAGATATACGATTAAATGACTCCTTGCGAGACCATTCAACATTTTCTTCTACTATTCTATTACTAATTATTTCATTATCCCTCCCTCACTAAAAACCACACCGAATTCTTGCAATCCATTTTCAAAAAAAAAGTCGATCTAGTCAAAATTATATGTACAGAAAGTACTCTTCTTTTCTGTAAAATATTTCCTGCAAACATTGAAATAAAAGACGAAACTAAAGTGATCAAGCATAATTCTAATATCTGGTGGCAGGCTTCATTTTCTCTAATGGGAGACAAGGAATGATACACTGGAATTTACTCATGACGAGCAACCTTTCACTGCCTGCACCGACATGTGGCTTATTTTTTAAATTATTAATTGTAATTAATTAATTGACAGGTTACAGAGATGCTGGAGAGCAAGAACGGGCTGTCTACGGGCATACGAATCTTATGAGCGAAGTGACAGACGTCTGGACTCAGCTGGCACCTCTCTACCACCAGCTCCACGCATATGTTAGGTCAAGGCTGAGGAAGCACTACGCTCCCCCGCATAAGATCAATCCCACTGCCCCAATTCCCGCACACCTTTTAGGTACCGGCGTTTCCGTTTATTTTTTCCTCTGCTACCATGACCGGAAAATTAATTCTTTCACAGGCAACATGTGGGCGCAAAACTGGAAGAACATACTCGACCTGGTGCTGCCCTATCCGGGAAAACGTCGTCCGGACGTGACCTCGGAGATGCTCAGGCAGGGATACAACCCTCAGAGGATCGTACAGTCTGCTGAGGAGTTTTTCACGTCGCTCGGACTCCGGCCGATGCCGAGGGAGTTCTGGCACAAGTCCCTCCTGGAGCGGCCCATCGACAGACACGTAGCGTGCAAGGCGTCCGCCTGGGATTTCTGCGATCGCAAGGATTTCAGGCAAGGCACCTCAAAAATAACAAATTTATAAGCCTTGTTACAATCACATAACAATATTTCATCATCAAAGACAAACATACTTGTGTGTACCGACCGAGGAGCTGTTCACTGTTCACTCGAATAGCCAAAACAACCTTAAAAATCTTCCTTAAAAAAAAAGGTTTATATTTCAGAATTAAACAATGCACTGAAGTGACAATGGAGGATTTGCTAACGACTCACCACGAAATGACACACATCCAGTACTACCTACATTACTCCGAACTGCCCATCCTGTTTAGGGACGGCGCGAACCCTGGTACCATAAAAAACACAACTGTGGTACAATTTATTTTAAGCAAATCTAATAAAAACGAATTTTTCCAGCTTTCCACGAAGCTTTGGCAGACGCAATCGGCCTTTCCGTCATCACACCTAAACACATGCACAGGATCGGATTGTTGAACAATATTACAGATGATTACGGTTTGTCCTACGTCATTTCCTAACCCCCCGCATATATCGGATTTGATAGATAAAAATGTGATTTTATGAAATCATTAAAATAAGATCTAAAGATTCCCTAGATCCGTCAAATTTCACAGCCTGTCATTGGTCAATTTCTGTTTTAAACCCACAAGAACTTTTATAGATTCAGGAATTATAAAATATAGATATATAAGGGATTAAAATATGCGTTGAATTAAGTCCAAATATATTTTTACATCACTATTAGAATTATACCGAATCTCAACTAGTAACGCCAAACACACTATCGTTAATCGTTTTAGTAGCTTTTGACCGAGGACAGTGTAATTCGGATCAAGGTGGTGATCAGCATGCGATGATCATACTGCTGACAATGGGCTGCTGTTAATTAAGAAATGCCTATCTTTTGCAGAGACCGACATCAATTTCCTACTGGAGATGGCACTAGATAAAGTGGCTTATCTTCCCTTCGCCTACATCGTCGACCAGGTACAGTATTGAAATTTTTCCAAACGCTAGTGGATTTAGAATTTTTATAGTTGATAATTCGCTTTAAAGAAATGGTCAAGTGAATTTTATAATTTATCAAACATTAAAATCGGACTATTATTTCTATATTCCAGTTCCACTGAATGTTTACGTATTTTTTCCCTCCCGAAACTCACGGGTTGTAACAAATAAAATTTGCAATTTTAGAAGCTTTAAAAATTCGAAAATCCAGTTTTTCAGCTGGGTAGCTGATCGGGCTATTGGTGGCATTCTTACATTTTGCCTATCTAGCAGTTTTATTTTTTTTTTTTTTTGTTATTACCACGGTCTTTGATGACGTTTAACACTTCCAAACGTGATTAAAATGTCTGAAACCCTTAGACCCTTCGCGAAAATCGGTGTAAATGAATTTTTTGACTGATAATTTCCACGACCTTTCTGCCTGACATTTCTAGTGCAAGCACTAACATATTTTTTTTCAAAAGCTAGTTGGACCTATTTTTATAGTTGATAATTCTTTTTAAAGAATTGGTTAAGTGAATTTTATAACTTATCGACCATTAAAATCGGATTATTATTTCCATATTCCATATTATATTCCAGTTTCACTGAATGTTTATTTATTTTAATTATTGATATATTCCATATTATATTCCAGTTCCACTGAATGTTTACGTGTTTTACCCTCCCGAAACTCACGGGTTGTAATAAATAAAATTTGCAATTTTACAAGCTTAAAAAATTCGAAAATCCAGTTTTTTTTTCAGCTGGGTAGCTGCTAGGGCTGGCTATTGGTGGCTTCTTACATTTTGTCTACCTAGCTTTTTTTTTTTTTTTTTTTTTTTTTTTTTTTTTTTTTTTTTTTACCACTGTCTTTGATGATATTTTACACTTCCTAACTTGATTAAAATGTCTAAAACCCTTAGACCCTTCGCGAAAATCGGTGTAAATGAATTTTTTGACTGATAATTTCCACGACCTTTCTGCCTGACATTTCTAGTGCAAGCACTAACATAATTTTTTTTTCAAAAGCTAGTTGGACCTATTTTTATAGTTGATAATTCTTTTTAAAGAAATGGTCAAGTGGATTTTATAACTTATCAAACATAAAAGTTAATTTCTGACAAATAATTTTGAAATTTTGTGAATTTTCTTATAGAAATATTTTATATATTTAATGCTACATTCTTCGTTAAAAAAAACTAGATTCCACTTCTTTCAAATAGTATGTTTAACGTTAAAATCCTATCAGCCGTTTTTGAATAATAGCCGTTTCATTCAGATATTCCGATAACGACTCTCAAAAATTTGCAAAATCTGAGGCGTCAAAAAATCGATAAATTTAAATTCAAACAAAAATTTATATTTAGGGGTCTCTAAAAATGCTAAAACGAAATTTCATATTAGTTTTTTAAATTTACTTGAAAAATATTTGGTTTTTAGAACTTTTTTGGTCATTGATATAGTTTGATAGCTTTTACTAGATTTTTATTGCAACCTGCATAAAAATGCTGTAAAATGATATATTCACATAGTTGATTTGAGCAAGTAGAAAGGCGAAATAAAAATATGAAACAAACGGAAAATTTCAACTTTCAAAAAATATTGGCCAAACTAGGGCCAATATTCACAAGAAGTACGAGTCTGATATTTTGGAGTGTAGAATCACCCAAGAAAGGTTTGGACCAAATCCCTGACCCTACAACCTGGACGTCCCCTTGTAAGTTTGGCGAGTAAAGAGTTGCCGATATACTGCTACCTCTATGGCAACACTAAAATTATGTACATCCTGAAGTAACGGCCGAGAAGCCTCTTCAGCTCGACACTCTTCCTTTATTCACGCCAATAAATACATTCACACAGAGACAAAATGCACATTCGCTATCCTAAGTTGTTTTTGTTTGTTTATTATTTTTTTATTGTTTTACTCTAGGCATAGTGCATATTATAAATATGACTACAAATTGGTTTTTTCACGGTCACAGCACTAACACGAATGCCATAGCTGCACCGGGAGAACAGATGCCATAAGAAACCGGCTAATGCTGGCACTCAGTGTAAGAGGAAAGGTCTCGAGGTCATCGTCGATCAAGGTGACTGCCAGGTTCTTGGCATGGGAATGTGAAGAGCAGTAGGGTTAGGATAGATCGAGAGTCGGTTTGAAACTTTTGGAATCAGGAACGAATCAGATTGTTGACAAAAGGAATGTTGAGGTCGCTATGGATGGGGAGGTTAGTGATGAAGGATAGGTTACGCTGGATGTTGCTTGGGAAAACCCCACAGTTCCACTCAACATGTCCAAAGTGCAGTAAAGTCATGCATAAGAATAGTTTAGTGTTAAGACAGATTCCAAGCTTAGAACTCTTTTTAGTTGTCTGTCTTCGGTTAAGTTGTTGCCTTGGTGGGGAGTCCACCTCAGTCTACTGTCTAGGTACGGTTCAATGTATGTGATTTCAATGAAAATCTCATGTCAACAATGTCTTGTTGGTGATGTATACTGTTAAGTTATGCTATCCTAAGTTAACCTAATTGGTTCAACAGACTAGAAGTTTTCGATATTCCACAAAAACCGTGTCATACCCACTTAACCATTCGCACACACAAATAGGGTTATTGATATTGCACCAGTGACCCCCGCACCCCACCAGAAGAACTACTTTTATTTCAAAATATAGGTTTTTGTAGAAAGGTTAAATTAATAAAAAGTTTTATGAATAATTTAAAAGCAGAAAGTTATACATATCATTGTCAGAAAATGATAGGCAAAAATGTTTTTTGTTTGGATCTTATTAGAATGCAAAGAAAATGTTCCTACAGAATTAAACTAATAAAAAAATTTTCATTTTGAAAATGAATTTTCAGTGGAGGTGGAAAGTGTTCTCAGAAGGTACGAAAGATATGAACACAATGTGGTGGGACCTTAGGGCGTACCACCAAGGAGTCATCCCACCTATAGCTAGGTCTGAAGCTGATCTCGATCCCGCATCTAAATATCACGTCATCTCAGATCAGCCTTATATTAGGTAACATATTAAACTCAACAGTACATGAAGAAAATTTAAAAATATAAAATTGCTCGCAGATACTTTATAAGTTTGGTCCTGCAATTTCAAATCCACCAAGCTTTGTGCACTGCGGCCGGGCATATCGGCACCCTCCACACTTGTGATATATATAGGTCGAGAGAGGCAGGAAGAGTTCTTGTGTGAGTGAAGCTTTTAAAAGTGAAATTTACAGATACAAAAAACAAACATTAAATTAACTTTGTTTATGTTCAGCGATGTGATGTCAGTGGGCGCGAGCAGGCCCTGGGAAGAAGTTCTTCGTCTCGCGACTAGAGGTTCAAGCCAGCACAAACTGGATGCCAGACCAATGCTCGAGTATTTCAAACCCCTGTCATTATGGCTTAGAGTTCAAAACAGGGATGAGCAAATGATCGGGTGGATCACTTCAGAACAAGACGCTGGTAAATAATAAAAATGAGATTAATTTTCATTTAATTCATTAATGCTTGTTCCAGCTCTGTATGAACACTGGTCTAGAGGAAGCGGCACTCCATTACAGGCTTCGCAGTTTCTACTTTTTGCAGTTCCCCTTGCAATCGGACGCTTGTTGTGATTATATTACAAAATTTGTAATTAAGTAGAAGTTTTTATATACAATGTCAACAACACTGAAACCAAAGATATGTTTATAAAAATTATAAAATTATTTTATCGAATTGCATTGGCTATGTATATGTAAAGGGCATTGTTGTAAATTATTTTAAACCTAGCATATGGCAAATACTTGGTTACCTTAAATTAATTGAAGCTATATGTTAACTGCTATACAATTTGTTTTCTTTAAAATGGAAAAATTATTAATATTTTTATTTGTTTGTTAATATTGCTACAGTTTATAAGCCTATTTTTTAAAATATTTTATCAATAAATTAAATTGTGATTTATTTATTTTTTTAATCAGTGCATTATATTATTCTGACAGCGAACACGCTTATCTCAGTTATCAATTATTTTCCCCCCATTTTGACAGGAAACCTATTCAGGCAAGCCTCCGACCAATTTGTACATTTGAAATAATCATCGAGTTTTTTCAATAATAAAATAGGGGGTGTCGGAGGCTGCAACATGGTGCTCATCACTGTTGGGTGCAAATCTAGCTTACATACTTATACTTTTTTTTCCCAAAAACACCACCACCCTGAGGGTTGAAATGACCTATGCTATTAAGAACCCTCATTAAAAATAAATGAATGGAGTTTTTCATTTGTTTCTCTTTTACACAACAATGATACTCAAATTTATATAAACTACACAAAATGTTGACTGGATGTCTGCTGCCCAGTTTCTTCAAATGTACTTGAATTAATTTAAAATGCTTTTCTGGCATATCAATACAAAGGTCGTAAACCAAAACTTCATATTAGTTTCGAACTGGGTATTTTCTTTACAGAAATATTTTATATATTTTAATGCTATACGTTGTTAAAAAAGCTACAGTCCTCATCTTTCAAATAGTCTGTTTGGCTTTAAAATCCATTTAGCTGTTTTTCAATTATAGCCGATTCGATAACGACTTCTCAAAAATAAAATTAAAAATTTAGGGGTCAAATAGTCAATAAATTTAAATTCAAACAAAAACTTATATTTAGGAGTCCTTAAAAATGCTAAAACGAAATGTCATATTAGTTCCATGGGAAAAAAATATGACTTAGTTTACTTGAAAAATATTTGGTTCTTAGAAAGTTTTTGATTGTTGATAAACATATACCTTTCACTATATTTTTATTGGGATCTACATAAAAAAAATAAAATAAAATAAAATAAATTAAAAAAAGATGTAAATTTATATATTCAGATAGCTCATCTGAGCAAGTAGATCAGCGAAAAAAATCTATTAAAAAGTGGAAAATTTCAACTTAAAAAAAAAATTTAAAAATTGGCCAAACGGGCCAATATTCAGAAGTGTTGTACACGTGTCTGATATTTTGGAGCGTAGAATCACCAAAAAAAAGTTTGGCCAAAATCCTTGACCCACCAACCTGGTAGTTCCCTTGTTAACTTTTTACAGTTATATAAAAAATTTAGAATTGGCAATCCACTATTGTTTTGTACCTTTGTTAAATTTTATGTGACGATAGAGAAAAGTGCATTACCTTGGTTGCAGTTGTCAACATTAGGTCTATATTCTCTCCTTGCCCATTACGTGCATCTTTATTGTATGTCAATTGTCCATCGTCAACGTTACTGTTTTATTATAAACCTTCAAATCAATTTAGCAAAGAGCATCTAGGCCGGACAGGCCTGTAGTCAAAAGGCTAAAAGAAAATCTTGATCCCACTGGGGCTTTAAACAAGATTAACAAAATATATTGAATAATGAAAATTATCAACAAGTGGCAGACATTTACATTTTTTTTTTTTTTTTAATTTAAAAACTTAAATACTACTTGTAAACTCCACTGTCACGCAGACAAGACCACATATCTCTGACTTTGTGAGCCACTTCATTAATGTCAGTCGAAAGGGCTCCGAGCTCTTGCCTAATTGCCTTAGTTCTTGTATCATCGAGGTAGAAATCCTTGTTGTCCAACAACGAGCCTACTTCTTTTGAAACCGAAGCCTGGTACTTCTGCATCGTCCGCACCCTATTTAGATCCTTTTCGTGCCTGTGCAAAAAGAAATCCAGGAATTAATTATAAAAGTGTGTGTATACAAAATGAAAAATATTACCTTGTTAATTTATGTGAAAGGGAATTTAGATAATTGACAGTCTCCTTTTCTTTTTGTGACAGTTTAGGGTCTTGGTTATAAGTCGTCTTCATAACATCTTCAATTCGTGATATCAGATTATTCTGCTTCTCATTGAGCTCTTCATACCTCTCTGCAATCTGTTCCGCTGTCTCTTGTAATTTGGCGCGTTCGCCGACTAATTTTTCGATTTGAATTAACTCCGTAGAGACTGCAGCTCTAATGGCACCTGCTCTTTCTGCAATCTGGGCCGCGACAGACTCATGCACTTTTAGCACTTTTCTACAGTGCTGTGATGTCCGCATGACAATTTCGAGCCACGCCTGGGGTGTCATGTCGGGAAGCTTGACCATCGGGAGGACCGACATGATTCCGTTCTCATTAAGCGCATTCTCGATCATGAGGAGAAATCCATCGCTGTCGGATTTGCTCCTCTCCACGGCAAGAGGTTCAACCGAGTAGATAGTCTTCGGGAGCATTTTGATATTCATGAGTACACCGGATTGGAGAAGTACAAGAAGGGTCATTGAAAGATCAAGGAATGCGCAACCCAAAATTGGAGAAGATTTTAGACTGTTTTCACTATTAAGCCCTGTGCATATTAAATAATCCACTGAACTTGAGATTTTATAACTGCCAAAGTCATCATCGTTTTCGTTCAGGAATTCATAAAGTTTTGACACAATCGGCACCATTACAGAGTGAATCCCGCCATCATGGATACAGAAATATCTTGAAGATTCAACTGGGTCTTTCATAAGAGCGATCTTTGTCGAAACTAGATCATCATCTTCCCAGAGTGTGATCCCGACATTCAGTTCCACCCCTTCGATCACATAAAGAGACTTGTCGTTTTTATGCTCCGGCTCCTCAGAGCCCATGAGAAGACAGTGGTAAAGCGTCCCGGTGCAAGTAGAAAGCACGACAATAGGAGGAGACGAGTTCAGTACAATAATGGAACTGGCGTCCGTGCCGTAATTATCATCCGAAGGAGGGAACATTCTCAACGGTCCGTCCAGACTAGTTTTCTCCTTGTTCAAACTGGACACAACTGAGTAGACATCACCGTGTCCCCAAAGAACCAGAATGGGCCATTTGATTTGAAGCAAGTCTTCATCAAATGGAGGAGGTCCAAAATCAAAATCAACCGGGGTGTCACCAAGCGAGACCTGAAAAGATAGATATACTTGTAATTTTTTTCTACCTGAACCCAGTAGCAACTTGAACATTTCTGTACTATATTTAACTATGTAACCTAAAAATAAGCCAGTTACTTCAATTGAATTAGAATCACTTTTCAACAATGCTTAATGAAAAGTTTTTAAGTAACTTCGTAAAAAGAAGTCTAAATTTATTATACCTCTTCTGGTACATGTTTTTAACTCAGCTTTTTTTCTTTTGGTCAATTCCTCTTTAAAAAATCTAGGGAAAAAGGGGTCGGAGAGTTGATACAGAAGACAGTTCTTTTTTTCTTTTTATTATGATTTTAACAACTGCAATTTTTAATAGCAACAAGCAAATGAGATAACAGGCATAGTGACAATCTAACATGTGTAACTTGATAGGACAGGTCATCCAACAGTGACACTCCCTCACACCGAGTCAATCAGTTTCTCAAGAGATCTCTCGGCCACAACCGGAATGCAAGAGAATACTTGTGCTTTACTACAAATCGTGGACTTCATAACTTGGGGAAAGTGATTCGATCATTACGAGTAGTTCCTCATGAGTTGACCATTGAGCAAGCACAATGCCGAGTATAAATTTGTCGACATCTTTTGAAAAACACAAATGTCCTTAGGTTCACAACATAAAATATTTTCTTGCGAAGAAAAGTGAAAATATTATACCCCAAGACCAAGAAACAATGGCTAAACTGCAATTAGCCCACACAACCTGTCGCTAACAAGGGCAATTTGACAAAAAAAAAAAAAATTGCTATCTGTATTTTGGAATTATGAAGGCAAAATTCACTCCTATGGTCTGGTTTTTTAGGGAAGTAGTACTGATGCTACTAAGGTCTTTACCCCCCCCCCCTAAAAAAGTTTGCATTATGAGCAGTGTAGGAAGCACTCTTTTCATCAGCATTGTATAAATTCCATTTTTGGTTTGATCTAAAATTTTCTAGCATTGTATAAATTCATTCTTTCTTTTTTTAAATCTAGTTTTCTAGCATTGTATAAATTCAATTTTTGTTTTGATCTAAAATTTTCTAGCATTGTATAAATTCATTCTTTCTTTTTTTTAAATCTAGTTTTCTAGCATTGTATAAATTCAATTTTTGTTTTGATCTAAAATTTTCTAGCATTGTATAAATTCATTCTTTCTTTTTTTTAATCTAGTTTTCTAGCATTGTATAAATTCAATTTTTTTATCTAAAACTTTCTAGCATTGTATAAATTCATTTTTTTTAATCCAAAAGATTTTCTAGCATTGTATAAATTCATTCTTTCTTTTTTTAAATCTAAAATTTTCAAGCATTGTATAAATTCAATTTTTTTTTATCTAAAACTTTCTAGCATTGTATAAATTCAATTTTTTTATCTAAAACTTTCTACCATTGTATAAATTCAATTTTTTTATCTAAAACTTTCTACCATTGTATAAATTCATTATTTCTTTTTTTAAACCTAAATTTTCCACAGCCTACATGTATTTGTAAAATTCAAACAATGTTTATAAATCCCAGGCCCTGAAGATGGTGTCAATAATGATGAACGTTGGCACGATAAAGAAAATGTTTTTGAAATTAATGTTGTACTTGCCTTCCCGGGTATGTTGCTGTGCCAACTGGCAGCACGTTTTGACAGGAAACACTTCCATAACATATCTCCATCGGCGACGCTGTAGCATCTGAGACACTCGTCTGAAGTGAGGATGACGAGATGAGAATCCGACGGCGATCCCGGGTGCCAGCGAACTTGCCGCAGCTGATGTTGCTCGCCGAGGAAAAGCCTCTGGCCGATCGAGGTGAAGTTGACCGTGGACTTGGCCTGGGACCACCTTTCCGGGAGGTTGACTATCGCGACGCCGTTCTTGCCCGAGAGGCAGAGGAGGGTGCAGGACGGGTTCGGCTCGAGGCCTTCGACTTCGAACAGCAGCTTCGGCGTCAATTCGAAGACGACCTGCGTCTTGAGATCTTTGTCTCGGACACAGTGCTTGACGTTCACCACGTGGACCGAGTTCTCCGTCGGGTTCCAGGTGAAGATCCTGTCGAGGGAATAGGCCAGCCGACGCGAGAACTTTGGCCTCGACGCCACCGGGGCCCAGTTCTTGAACAAATCGTGCTGGCTTAGAATTGACACTTCCAGGGACATTTCGCTTTTATGTAAACATAATTCGACGCGTAAATACCGAATAGCGAACCCGTCTGAGAACAGAGCGTCAAACGCGGAGGGAAGTGGGGAGGTTTCAACAGAGCAGGTTGATAAAGTTATCAGAGGAGGGAAAACGCGGCTAGGGACCAACGACAATGTGACCGGGGTTCAACGGTTTAGGCCAGTGATTTGTATATATATTTTATATATAATCAAAGTTTCACGTTTTTTAACGTTTAATAATTGAGTCTTTGTCTAAAAAAGTTAAAAAAAGTAAATTTCTAGGGAAAATGAAAAATAAATTTTAAAAAAGGTATAAAATTTGTCTTAATTTCGTTTTATATTTTTAATTAACATTTTAATATCGCGTATTTCCTCCTCTTGCCTTAATTACATCTCGGCATACTTTCTACCAGTCTGGAAATGGCTTTTTTACTGGAGGTTAGATAATTATGAGTCCCTTTCAAGGTCGTGGAGTGTATCAAGAAGTGATGGACTTGTTCTAATTCGTTTTTTGAGGTTATCCCATAAATGTTCGCTGGGATTCAGAACGGGCTGGCCAGGCTAAGAACCTGACGTTATGCTGTTGAAGGTACGGTTGTACTATGCGAGCGACATGTGGATGGGTACTATCGTGAATTAGAATAGGATTGTCTCTGATTTCATCGAGGATAGGCAACGAATGATGTTCCAAAATTTCATCCACATATCGTGGCCGTCAAAGACACTTCACGAACAACAACCCACTCTGTGCGACTCTCCGTTGAAATTCCCGCCCACACCTTCACAAACTTACAGGCTTCGTACCTTTCATTTCGCCTTCTTCACACTCCTTCATGCCCATCTGGAGATCGTACAGCAAATCTTCAATTCATCTGTAAAAAGTACAGCAGACCAATCGTCTAAACACCAATGGTTGTGTTCTCAAGCAAATGCGAGCCGTGCAACTATGTGTCTTCTGGTCGTTTCTGGTCCTCTTACGGGGTGAAAATCCACCAGTTCATACTGATCTAATCTTCTTCGAGCAGTGCGTTCAATTTGGACACCTCGAACTTCCTGGAGCTGACGAACCGCTGGAACAGCAATAAGGTGCCGGTTTTGCGAAATTCTCAAAGTCAAAAAACGGTCATCCTGTGGTTCTCTTACCCTAGGAAGTCCAGAATCGGGCTTTCTATGGTAGGACACAGTTTTTCGAAAACGTCTAACAGCAAATCGCAGAGATAGGTAATTTTCAGATGTAGCGTTATGTACCTTGAGATAATCATAGAAATATGAAATGGAATAAACATATCAAATATTGATGTGATAAACTAAGGAAATGTATATGATAAACCAAATAAACTGATTCCTAATTAAAACTAAAAAAATAATATAGCCCTTTTCCAATCATTTGTGCATTTCGGAATTGCACTGCTTAGGGGGGGGGGTACATATAGATTGTATTGCTGAGCCAGTTTATATACAAGAAAAAAGCTAAAATTTTAAATACACATCAAAATTAGTGTTTGAAGAAATAGGAATTTATTGCATATATCAACTCTATGTGAAAGATTTATTACATTATTATACAAACAAAAAGGTAAATTACTTCAGAATAAATGTGTTATAAGAAGAATTGTATGTAGAATCAAATTACCGTTGATAAAAAAATATATTATAAAAATTCAACAAATTACAGAACAACTATATTGTTAAATAAACTTTTCTCCAACCTATACGACCTTTTTGAAGTATCTGTAGAAAAAGATTTAAAAAATGATAAGTGAAGTCAATTATAAACTGTTTTCATAATTTTATTTATAATTGATTTAATTCATTTATTTTCTTAACACACACACACACACACACACACACACACACACACACACACACACACACACACACACACACAAAACAATAGTATAATTAAAATAAACAATGAAAAAACGAATTTCATTAGTTCAGTATAATCTTTAATTACATTTTTCATTAACAATATAACAAAAATTATTTTATAAATAAATGAATATATATACATATTAGCCGAACAACTCCATATGCCATCTCGGTTCAAACTAAAAATAAACATGGAACAAATTCAAAAATAAAACTAAATGTAAATTTATCAATATATTATAGAATTTAAAACAGTGTAAAAATAATGGGCAATAAATAAATCTTAATCTTAATTAAACAAGTATATTAGTTTGAGTATATCAGTTTAACTAACCACTTTTTCGGAAATTTTTTAAATTTCTCCATTGATCAGGTCATACCCTGGAATCTTTTTAAAGGTAAATTTTTCATTTCTTGTCCTATTTCATTACGTGTAACTTTTCCAAAACAAAGCAAAAAAAATTACGTGTAACTAGCTTTCTACTTTATTCTTGTGTCCAGAAGTTAGTACCTATTTCTTTAAATTTTCATGTTATGTTCAAAAAACCTGTAACGTATTCTACATTGTATTGTGTTAACTCCCCCCTGTATATACATTTTTTTAAATGCAGAAAATTATCTATCTATTTAATGTAAATTTGTTGTATATGTGTATGTGTTGTATATGTACATTGCAAGACTTTATTATAGATTACAATTTTTTTCAGAAGATTTATTTGATTTCTCACTTTTTTTAGTTTGATTGTATTTTTAGTTATTATGCTCAAAATTATGTAGTTGCGTTTTTTTTTGTCTTAGAAACGTTGAGATGTCGAATTGGGGCCGTCACGCCCTAGACCGTCTGGCCGGAGGGAAAAATCGCGTTTTGTCGTGGCCCGACTGCGCCGAGATCCCGCTGTGGAGCCGAAACCGTCAGTTTGACTTCAGACTTCACGTCTTCATCACGACTCGGATCCGCAATTTACTCACAATTAAATGGTGAATTTCATTTATATTCGTTGACGCATTATTGAAACACTTTTTTTTATGTCTATAAAAAAATAGAACATTAATGCAAAATCCCGCTTAAGCGTAGCTTTCCTGCAACAAGTTCACACTTTGAAAACACTTCTGAATGACAGCAATAACTCAAATTTTGTCGACAAAAATGACACATTTGAAATTTTGCCTGTTGATCTTACAGTTTGCATTAAACAGGTTTACTTTTTTTCTGAAAACAACAAACGCCTATTCTAAAGAAAATAATATTAATCAACAATGTATTGATTCATTTTATTAAACAATACTTAAACAAAAATTATTAAATATAGAAATATAGCACAAATTAACAGTAGATTCATGTAAAGATCATAGCCAACAGTCCATATTTGAAAAAATTATAAGTAATACATATTAACAATCAACCTGATTGTTTTATGATGTTCGTGTTGAAATATTAAAATTCTCCAATTTTAATTTGCCATTTTTCCATTGATCTATTTTCCTATTAATTTTTCAATTTTTCTTAACGGAATGATTCATGATGTGTTGAATTTTAATCTAGTTACGTGCTGATTGTCATGATCGACTTATGACATTGAGTACCTCCCGTTTAAAATCTAAACTGGCGTTTTCTTCTTTGACGTTCTTCATTAAATAATTGAAATGACAGATATTATCGTTTATCAAAACACGTGATGCTCCCAAACAATGTTGAATACGGTACAAAATTGAAAAGTATTTGCATTAAGCATGCATTTTCCCTTGTAGACTAGAATCTGAAGTTCAATGTCAATTTGGTTTTTTAAGTAGCCAAAATGCTTTTCTTTTTTTTTGTTAGTGTATAATTTATATATAAACGGACAATTGGCTAAGCTGTCATGTTTAATGGTGGTTTAATCGAAGCAGAAAACGCCCATTTGGTCCTTTACCCCTTTGCAAGTCGATCGTTGAAAATCCTCCCTTCTTTCGAGAAAATAATGATGTATTAATGTGTATGTCAGGGATGTCTATTGATATGCCTTTAACTGTGATATAATGTTCAGGTCATGGCAGTTACCATGGCGACCCAGCTCTTGCACCACGGCAATGCGCAACCGACTTCCTTCAACAAACAAATTCCTGTAAGTCAATATTTATTTCTTTTATTAGAATTATGGGCCGAGACGTCGGCTGGAATATTGAAGGAATGGTGTAATTGGCCTGGCGCGGGCCAATTACATAAAAATTAGAATAGACATAAGAGTCCAAATTGTGGACGCGAATGACTTCGAATTGCTCCGGTGAACGAAGAAACCGAGATGAATTGGGTTCGGAAAGTTTTTTCTTAACACTTCATTTAACATTTTACTCCAGAATGAACTAATTAACTGTGCTTTCCTTCCTCGATTGTTCTATTTGATTAATGAAATATGTCGCTGAAGTTCCTAGTTCTCGAGATAATCAGGTTTAATCAATAGTTCTGTCAATTCGTATCAGCGATCATTGTTCTCCACGAAAGAAGATCACTTCCCAATAAATAAAAATGGATCGATTTTTTAAAATATTTTACTGTAATCGAATTCGATCTTTTCCGAACATTTTAGTGATGTTGCTGAACTTGTTAGTTCTGGATGTAATCAGGTTTAATCATTAGTTCTGTCAATTCGCACCAACGATCGATTTTCACCTAAGAAGATCACTTCCAAGTATATAAAAATAGAACGATTTTTTTCAATATTTTATTTCGAATTCGATTCTTTCCGGATATTTTGGTGTGTATATATATATATATATATATTTAATAAAATCCTGGTTTTAATTCAGTCTTGCTGGTCTGATCTGTCAGCTGTTTCGTCATTTCGCAATTTCCAGTGGGTTGCTATGTTTTAAGCGTGTGGTGACACACCTAAAGAAAAAATTAGAGAAAAAATTTAATTTTCGGTTTATTTATGCTTTTATTTATTAAATTGCAATCATACCCGGCAATTTTGGTATAAACAAAGTAAAAATCCAGTAAATGAAATAACCCTAAATATTTTTTTAAGATTGTAGGAATCTCATCAGTAATCTTTTTTTGTCAAAGGTTATTAGCAGTCTATGAAATTATATAAATTTTCTCATACAAAATTTTTAGTGAAAAAATAATAATTAATTACCTATTATCATTTTTAATTGAACTCTTATATTTTTTGTTTGGCGTCTCGACGGAAGCGACTTCGCAGAACCTTTTACCAAGGATTGAAAAAATAGATAGTGTTTTGAAAACTTGTCTTGAACGCGACATAATAATAAATAATATAAATTCATTCCAAACTACAAAAAAAAAAAATAATAATCGCGTTATGAACTCTTATGTGTCAACAGCAGAGATATAAAACAGGAAATATAAAGGCTAGTCCAATCAGATCAATTCCACAACAACTCTCATCTGTGGAAAATCAAAAGATTAGCCACCAAAAATGTACATTAGAACCGAAAAAGTGTGACTTCTCAATTTTCCGAGCATCCTGAAAATTATGATTTTTTCTGCAGAAAGCCAAACTTTCATGGTCTCATTAACATAATTGAGTATTTAAATTATTCATTAATAGATATTTATATATTGTGTATATAAGAACTTTTAAAATTAATATAAAAACATAATGCAAATTAAATTCAGATATAAAAGAAATAAAACTTTTGAAAAGGCATTTCACACATGTTAAATCATTCACAAAAAATAAACAAGTACATAAAATTACATCCGATTTGGTTCAGGCATTCCGGAAACACTTACCAATAACAAGTTACAATTGGTACAAAAAGGAGGTCAATTTATTTTTACAAAAGATAATGTCAAGGTTGTAATTCCTTTAAAAGGTTCTTCATTTTTTGCTAACAGCTGTATTCTGAGATGTTATTTAATAGGTTCATATCATGTACTCTTTATCTACTTATAGATTTATGAATGATTATTGGTTATTGCTTTGTGTAAACTCAAATCTCCACACATATTCATACACGCATGTACAGAATTAAGCCTATCACTACATGCAGTCCAGCGGCAATCCTAGATTTCCAGAATCAGAGACTCACGCACCCCTGGTGGTAGGTTTTAGCCGTTCAGCCACCGAGGTTAGGCTCCAGGGCTAACAACTGCTAGGTCATTTCAGTCCCCAACGCAATGAGGCAACAAATCCAATCCCGTTCTCACTCTTACTTACTCTTAAATACATTATTTCCCATTTACGTACCACACACTCAGGGTGATGGAGTACCCGATATTCCTACGTATTATATAACTAGCCTAACATATGTTCCCAACTTTACTTATGGATGTTACCCATGAGGATCTTTAACGTCCGGACTTTTCCCCGAGGGGACTCCTCAGACGCCCAGTGTTCTCAAGGAAAACACCAGGAAGATTTTACATCTACGAATTTGTCACATTCCTTGACTAGCGAGGTGGTGCAATGCTAACCAAGTTCAGAAGTGCCCTGCAAAGAACACATCCATAAAAAGGCAGTTTTGTGGTTTCTGGCCAGCCTTTCAGCTGTGCCTTTCACCATCCCCGGAGAGGTAGAGAAGCACTCTATCTCCGGCTCCGGTTGGCCGGAACCCTCTAGCTAAGGTACAATTGGTTTGCAATCCAAGACCACCACGAGTTCAACCTCAATTAGTAGAGTCGCTTGGATACTCTACTCTCGTGGTTCAGTATTTATTTAAAGGTGGGACTGATCGCCCACCCGGGGTCCATACGAACCCCCTTCTGATGCACCCGTTGCCTGAGGGGTGCGGGTTCAGTAACCCAAGAAGCCTCTGCCAAAGTAGAGGGGGAGGGGAAGGAAAAGGGTAAGGAAGGATAGGGAAGGTAATGGGAAATTTTGCCATCGGTTACCCCTAGGCACCGGAGCAGATGGTAGGGCTTGCCTAGGCCCATAGGGAAGGTTACCCTATGGGATGATATATAACTAACCTAACAGATTGAGTATTCAGTATTCTGCCATTGACCCACTCACCCTACACCTTCCCGGTAATAAATACATTCAATTTGAAACCTCGCGAGAGACCCAAACTTACAGTGCTATTTCGATAAATTAACCATGTTTCCTACGAGAATTCAGATACTCGCTGCTATGACCAAACGCAATTCCCAAATATGCGCTCTAGGTATGGAGCCAAGGATTTACACCCTTTCATTAGGTGGGGCATATCGAGCAACTTTTCTTTACATGACGGGTTTGGCCCAAAATTAAGTGTCCGTGTGTCAAATTGCATCGCCTATTCATAATCGGAGGACCGTTCTTCAACGAGTTAAGTCCTCGGAGGGTCACCAGCGGTGTTTATATGCCAGAGCTTCTTTCGACGCTGCCAATTTTTTATATAATTTTTATAGTGCTATTTTGGCGTCAGAGTTGGTCAAGTCCACAGGTTGAGATGTCTCGGCCGTAGCCGCAAGTTACCGTTCAAACGTGTGAACACTTTACCTTCAAATTATGTTATTATACTAATTTATTTAAATCAAAAAGAGGAACATTTTAGCATGACTTGAAAATAAATTTACACGTTTTTGACGTTTTGTTTATCATTTTATTGCAAATGATTTATCCGTGACCTGTAGGCCGTGGCCGGCTGTAATGATCGTTACAGTTGGCACGCAAGGCTGATGGGTTGACCAAATATGAACAATTTATTGACTATGCTTATTTATTCGTTCCTGTCTCAATTTTGAATGGATTTCAAGTACGATTTTATAGTACTAATAATATTTAATCGCCGTGTTATTTTGAGAGATTTATTCTTGAGGTCTGTGGGTAGATGAACCTCTAGTTTGGTCGCCTTCGAACATCCATGTCTATTCTCTTTGTTTTGGTCTGGTTGTGTTTTAGTGCAATCTAGGTTTATATTCAACACAAAATACGAGGAAATTTTAGTTCAATATCATTCTATAACACAAAAATGTACCATAATTGAAGAAATTGATTAAATTTGGAAATTACTCGTCAAGAATAAAAATAACTCAGAATAGAAAATTTTTAGGACTTTATAAGGTAAATTTTGTTGATTGATTTTTTTAACGTAACTAATCATTTTGAAGATCGTGCTAGGATTATGCATTGGCCATTATGAAAAAGTGTTTGAAAGATTACCTTAAGGAAATGAGCATTTAAGGGGTGAGATCTGTTGCTCGGAGTATCGCGGATTAAAGAACAATCTGTGAGATAAGATAAAGTCAGATGAGGGAGGAATTAATCGTGTTTCGGCCAGGAAGTCAGCTCACGGACTTTCGATAATTAACTACTGGCTGGTGCGAGTTATCTCACCTACGTGTCCGGGCCAAACGACGCGCTATCGTCTTTATTTTTCTTTTTAAGGCAAGAAACCCTTCTCGGCCAGATGTATTCAAAAGAGGGAAACATCAATCTGAAGCACCTTTTTTTTACCGGCCTCCACTGAAATTAGAACCATTGTTGTGAATGCTGTTTTGTAGATTTCCAATTCAATGGAGGTGATTTAAAAGAGTGGCGAGCGTGATTCAAATGAATTTGTTTCGTATTAAAGTAAGCCTACAAATCAAAGTTTTTTCTTTTTTTTTCAATTCACTTGTTAAACTGGCCTGGCGATAAAGTCAGTTGGAAATTTACACGAAAGGAACTACTTTTAAAAATGAATTTTCACCGTTCGCAAAGTATTCGATTTTAAGTTTACCTGATTGTTTCTAACTTTACTTCTATGTTTTTGAATATGCCATGGTGATTAGAATTTTCACCACACAAAACCTTAGCAAAAGGGTGAGAAATAATGAAGTACTTTTTCCTTCAGCCCCGGTACGTTCAGAATTTCAGTACTAATCTTAATAAAATCAGCTCACTTAATGTAAGAAAAACGTCAAATTCATAAAAAAAAATTAAATAAATAAATGGAGGAACTAGTAATTTATATTAAAGAAACCTGGTCATCACTGCTTAGGTAATTTTGCACTTTATTGTGGATTTGAAAGTCATTTCGAACGAATTTTGTTTTAAATCTAACATAAACAAACCAAATAAGCGAAGTCAGGCGGACCAGTATGATCAAAGAGGACCAAACAAGAGGTTTATCACTCCGCGTGCCTCAAAAGGTTAAACGATCTTTTGCACGAATCACTTTCCTACCGAGCAAA